TCAGCTCACTGCAACCTCTGCCTCCCGGGTTCAAACGATTCTCCTGCCTCAGCCTCCCAAGCAGCTGGGACTACAGGTACACGTCACCACGCCTGTCTAATTTTTGTATTTTTAGTAGAGACAGGGTTTCACCATGTTGGCCAGGATGGTCTTGATCTCCTGACCTCATGATCCCTGGCCTCCCAAAGTGCTAGGATTACAGGCGTGAGCCATCGTGCCCGGCCACAATGGAATATTATTAAGCGGTAAAAAGAAATAAACTATGAAGCCATGAAAAGACATAAAGAGGTCTAGGCACGGTGGCTCACGCCTATAATCCCAGCACTTTTGGGAGGCCAAGGGAGGAGCACTGCCTAAGCCCAGGAGTTCAAGATCAATTTCTATTTTAAACAAAAACAAAAACAAAAGAAGATATTCACGAAGGGACCTAAATGCATATTGTTAAGTGAACTATGCCAGTCTGAAAGGACTATATACTATGATTCCAACCACATGACATTCTGAAAAGGTAAAACTATGACTGTAAAAAGATCAGTGGTAGCCAGGGGTTCAGAGGAAGGAGGTAGAGATGAGTAAGTAGAACATGGGACATTTTTAGGTCAGTGAAACCATTCTGCACAATTCTAGAATAGTGGATATATAATGTTATGCATTTGGCAAACCCCATAGAACTGTCCAACACAAAGGGTGAATCCTAATGTGAACTATGGACTTTAGTTAATAATGTATCAACACTGGTTCATCAGTGATAACCAACACATCACACTAATGCAAGATATTAACAGAGGAAACTGTGGGGGAGAGTATAGATGGGCACTGTGTATTTTTTTGTGCAATTTTTCTGTAAATCCAAAACTGTTCTAAAAAAATAAAATCTTTCAAAAAACTCAAATTTACATAGCCACACGTAGTTAGTGGCTGGTATTGAACAGCAGAGGCCCATATAAATAGACTGATGTGGGAAGAAAATGAGAATGGTATATGAAGAATTCCTTCATTTCTGACTACCATTCCCAAAAGTACACATACAGTTAACTCTAAACTATATAAGGTTTTATATGTAGCTTCTATATTAACATTTTACAGTAGAACTCGATCAAAAATATTCTGGATGAGTATCTTTCTAAAATTATTTTTGTTAAACAGAATTTAAGGAGGAAAATAACATTTATTAAAGGTGTCAGGTACTATACTAAAGATATTATCATTTACATTTCCGTACAACCTTCAGAGAAAGGTATTACCATTTCTGTTTTTAGAGATGAGGAATTATAAAGCTTAAGTCATAAAAGATGAGAATCTAGATATACTGGCCTCCAAAGTCTATGTTCTTTTTTTTTTTTTTTTTTAACCAAAGTCTATATTCTAATATACACCACTCTACTGTATATATGTTTATGATTCCCAAAATTACAAACATAATTTTCCCACAATGAATTTTCCATCAAGGAGCAATACTCTATATATAACACAACATAACAGTTAATGATATACTCAGAGTCTAATGAGGTGTTGTATAGGTAACTGCTGTCCCTATTTTAAACAGCCTCAGGCTAATGTGACTTTTTTTCCTGCCACCCAGCTGGCCCTCCATCCTACCTATATGGCTCTACTCCAACATCTAATTTGCACCTTTTAATCTGCTGTGGGATGAGAAAATAGATAATCAAATTCCTTGAATTATGTACAAAGCAAGAGAACTTCTAAACCAATGTGTAAGTGCAGATGATTTAGTTCATTAATTTTTCTGACAATTACAGGTCTTTTTTTTTTTTTTTTTTTGGCCTACTTCTTAATCTAAGCTGAGACCTGGATAAATTAAATACTGTTCTATAATAAAGCTAAGAATTTAGTGATTCTGTTTCATTCAAAAGTTTTCGACTACACCTTTTTCGTTTTTTTGTTTTTGTTTTTTTTTTTTGAGAAAAGTCTCACTGTGTCGCCCAGGCTGGAGTGCAGTGGTGTGATCTCAGCTCACTGCAACCTCCACCTCCCAGGTTCAAGCAGTTCTCTGCCACAGCCTCCTGAGTGGCTGGGATTACAGGCACCCGCCACCACGCCCGGCTAATTTTTTTGTATTTTTAGTAGGGACGGGATTTCACCATCTTGGCTGGGCTGGTCTTCAACTCCTGACCTTGTGATTTACCCGCCTCGGCCTCCCAAAGTTCTAGGATTACAGGCGTGAGCCACCAAGCCTGGCCTCATATTTTTCATACATATATGTTTTAATACAGGTGAGGTCTCACTATGTTGGCCAGGCTGGTCTGGAACTCTTAGCAAGTGACCCTGCCACCTTGGCCTTCCAAAGTGGTGGGATTACAGGTATGAGTCACCACCTCCTAGCCTATCCCATATTTTTCATGGATATAGCTCTAAACATCACCTCATTTAAAGACATTATTTTTATTTTTGTATTTGTTAATACTATCTGCTTCAAGATAAAAGTTCGGCCAGGTGCAGTGGCTCATGCCTGTAATCTCAGCACTCCGGAAAGCTGTGGCGGATGGATCACCTGAGGTCAGGAGTTACAAGACCAGCCTGGCCAACATGGTGAAACCCCGTTTGTACTGAAAATACAAAATTTGGCCGGGCATGGTGGCGGGAGCCTGTAATCCCAGCTACTTGGGAGGCTGGAGACACAAGAATTGCTTGAACCCAGGAGGCAGAGGTTGCAGTGAGCCGAGATAGTGCCATTGCACTCCAGGCTAGATGACAGAGTGAGACTCTGTCCACCCGCAAAAAAAAAAAAAAAAAAAGTATTTTTAAAATTTAAATGTATTGAGTACATTAGCCTTCTACTAAATGTTACTCTAAAAAATTAATGAGGTATATATAAAAACATAGAAACATGTATTTACAAAAAGTTGACATTTTCCTGAAAAAAATTATTACAGAAAACCAGAAATTTTACTACAGAGTTCTAAATATTCTGATATAATCCTTTTCCTTATCACTTTTTTTTTTTTTTCTCCCAGGTAGGGTTTCACTCTATTGCCCAGGCTGGTCTGGAATTCCTGGCTTCAAGAGATCCTCCTGCCTTGGCCTCCCAAAGTGCTAGGATTACAGGCTTGAGTCACTGCACTCAACTTAAGTTGTTCTTGTAATTAAATTATAATTATGTATATTAATAAAATTTTCCCTAAGGAGGGGAGATTAGTATCAAAATTTTAAATTATTTTTTTCTACTTAGAGCTCCCTGTAACCCCATTAGAAATCTTTACTAAGAAGATAAAGTGAGTTTTGTTTCTCATAAATTTTAAGATTTCAATTCAATTACAGTACCATTTTTGAATTTAAGATAACAATATATTTCCAAAGCTCCAAATGGAAATGTCAATCTTAGCAGTAACTCTAAAAGTCCAAGTTTATTATTCTTTATTCTAGAAAGAAAAAAAAAACACACAAAAAAAACTAATTTTGTCTCCCTCAGTCAGCCAATCAAAACAATCCAAAAAAGCTTACTAAACAATTGCCTTTGTAACAGTATTCATGTTTTCAGAGGTGACCAGGTAGAGGGCCAAGATCAAGGTTTCTAACACTTATTTAACAAGGGATTAAAAGCAGAGTGTCAGGTATAGGGCCAAGATCAAGGTTTCTAACACTTATTTAACAAGGGATTAAAAGCAGAGTGTCAGGCAAGTCAAAACTAAATATTCTCAAAGATTAGATGAATAAAATAGTCATAAAGTTAGATTCACAGGGATCAAAGAGTTTCAACCTAATTCTAAAAATCATTTCCCAGTGTAACTTCAAATAAATCCTTTGTGAATGTTTCTAGTTTCTTCTACACATTAGGAAAACCTAAAAGGCAAACAAGTTCTAGATAGGAGACTAAGTAAGTATTAGTTGTTCACATTTGTATAGAACATTAAATTTTAGTTCTCACAACCCAGTGAAGAAATACAAATGAGTCTAAGAGTTTGAGCAAAACCCTCTGGGGTGATCAAAACAAACTGCAAACTTCTATGATTCTCAACTTTTCTTCCATAGAGTCCTTGGCAGCATGCTTACTGTACTTACAGAAGCATGCAAAGAATTAGGTGGTTTTTTATTCCTAACAATCACATCCCAAAGTTTTTTCTGCAATTTCAATTGTACAGAGCACTCTTCCTCGATGTTGACTCAAATTAGAGACAGAAAGCAGAATGGCGTTTGCTAGGGATTAGGGAAGAGGGGAATACAGAGTAACTGCTTAACAAGTACACTGTTTCCTTTTGGGGTAATGAACATGTTTTGGAACAACATTGTGAATGTACAAAGTGCCACCTAAACTGTTTACTTTAAAATGGTTAATTTTATGTCATGGGACTTAACCTCAATAAAAAAATTATGTTAATCTATAGATAAAACTGACCCCTTTAGAACTCTTTCCTTCCTCAAAAAAAACAAAAAACAAAAAACAAAAAAAACTGCTATCATGTTCAAATGCTATTTAGATATTGGAAATTTTTTAGATAAAATGCAATTATAAGTTAAATTATTACCACATGTGCACAGTAATAATCAATGAAGGTATACCAATGTCAGTTTAAAACATTGCTATGCCTGTAATCTCAGCACTTTGGGAGGCAGAGGTGGGAGGATCACTTGTGCCCAGGAGTTTGAGACCACCCTGGGCAACACAGCAAAATGCTATCTCTATAAAAATAATAAAAATTTAAAAAATTAGCCAGGTAAGGCGGGCATATCACTTAAACAAAGGAGTTTGAGGCTTAAGTGAGCTATGACAGTGCCACTGCACTCCACCCTGGATGACAGACCATGAGTGACTCTGTCATTCATTCATACATATACACATACAGCATTGCTAAAATGCTTGATAATTATCAAAATAATATTGCTCTGACATACATCTGTAAATAGCTGACTTTAAATTTGAGAAAAATTACTTCCCCAAACCTCAATCAGGAAAACATTATAAACTAATAAGAAGTACCTAACAAACAAAAAGCAACCAAGAGTATTACATAAGAAGTAAACAGGCACAATCGCGACCAAAAATGGACAGAAATAAATATGCTAAAGTTAATTATCTTAGGGATATAGGGCAACATTACTTCAGATTGGTAAACATCACACTTCAAAAATAGAAGGAATCTACCTTAAGAAACTCTGTACTAAGAAAAACTCCTTTGTATAAATGCCTGACAAAATTAATATTTTATCATAACCTCTAAATCCAGCCTAGATTCCAGGATTACACAAAAGAAAAAATCTTGGAGGTGGTTCTGGGAAAAGGCTGACTGAAATCTGTGACTGTTTTGATACAGGCCAATCTGAGAATTTTAATCCCTCTGAACCCAATCCTGAAGAATACCTGAACCCTGAGCACAGACAGGGCCAAAGCTAAACCAGGTCAGAATACCCTGCCAAGGAACATCCTGATCCGAAGTGTTCACCAAACAGGGATCATTTATCAGTTTATTCCTCACTTTGTTGGATGCTGACCACTTTCAAGATATATACAAGAGTGGACTGATTAGACCCACCAAAATCCATTTCAAGTCCTAAGATCTGGAGATGAAAAATACTGCAGAATTCTAAATTATCCATGGCTTAAAGAAAAAAAATTTACAAATTAAGAACTTCAAATATTAGCTGACCCAACTTTAACATCACTGAATATCTTTAGTTATTTTTAAAAATTTATAAAGTATTTAAAAGGCACAATTTAGTAATTGCCTATATAACAAATTAACCATGAAAACAATTATAGCAGTATGATAAATCTGTCCTATGTAAACAGTATGAGTTTTTATATTTTATAGCATTCAGATATGCTAAAAACAAAAAGTTAAGTGTTTTTTTTGTGATTCACATGAACAAATACTTTCTTGTTCTTACAAGTAGATATCTGACAGGATACAAATAATGATAATAGGATAAGTTCACAGGCAAAAAAAGGAATCTGTTGACACAGAAGATGCTGCAAAGTTTAACTGTGACACATGTGGTAGTGGCAAAGAATCTAATTTGTGTAACAAGACCTGGGTCTGAGTAAGCTCTTTTACCTATTAATTATGTGATCTTTTTGCGCATTATGTAGCTACTCCTAGCTTCAGATTCTTTATATGAAAAAATGAGGACAACAGAACTAATACTGCAGCATAATGAGGAAGATTAAATATTTTTATTCATTCAACAAATATGTTCTGAAAAACTAAATTTGTATTATTGTGTACAAAATTACCCTTTTTAATTTCTTCAAATAAATCAAGCATGTATTAATTTTTAATATTACTAAGAAAATATAAATCTAATTCTTAAGCTCTGGTTCCAAAACTTCTTAGAAGTAAATTTTTATTACTTGAGAAAATCTGAACTTAAGTAATAAGTATTGACACTGAAGACGGGACAATTGAGGGATCACATCTTAAAACTGTTTTGACATAAAATGAATAAAAACAAGTCCCTAAATTTTTTCCTATTAAACAAATAAGGACCCAGACTAAGCCCATAAATTGCTGGGTCAATAACCAATCTCAAATACAAAACCTTACCACTTAAAAATACTTATTTTCAGGAAAATGATAGTAAATATGAGGTAAATCTGCCCTTGACATAACACGGTGAGATTTTTTTTTCATAACACAGTACATGAACCACTTAAAACTTACAAGCTATCAATTACTACAATTGTTCTAATAGGTTTAGGGCCAAACATAAATTTAACTATCATTATAACATGGACTTGGAATCTGTGCTGACCTAACAAAATTTAGCACAGAAAAAAAAAATCACAGATCTGAGCATCTGAAAAACGGTGTCTTTTCTGAAATGTTTGCAAAAAAGTCACAACATCAGGAGCCACAGAAAGTTGTTCTTTTTCCATCACTCAAAGAATCAAAACATCTCCAACATTATTTATGCTAGGCATAAAATGAAAGTCAATATTGATATTCACTCACTATACTTCAAATCCTAACCAAGATAATTCAACCTCTATGTTTATTCAATTGCTAGTCTATTCAGTATCAATTGTTGTGGAAGAACTAAGACGTAGACTAGTGCTGCTTACTAGACTTCATGTAACCTGAAAATGTTTTTAATTATAACAGACTTAGACCAATTCTACTTAGAAATGTACCCTTAAAAGAGGTGAAAGACATTAACTGGCATCTTTTCAGCACAGGTCAGTCTTCCTTAAGAACACAACCTATAACCCTTAGGCCTTACAGTTGAATGTTAACAAGTGAAAAGCAATTTCCTTGGATGTATCCAAGCATTTTAATATAAATTTCTGCATACCTAGGTAGAAAGTACTTTAGAAATAACTTAAATCTACCTTTTCCCTCACTTATAAGAAAATGTGGTAGAAGCCTTGAAAAATTAAGTTTAAGGCTCAGGCCTGTAATCCCAGCAATTTAGGAGGCCGAGGCGGGCAGATGACTTGAGGTCAGGAGTTCCAGACCAGCCCGGCCAACATGGTGAAAACCCCATCTCTACTAAAAATACAAAAATCAGCC